TTTATTTTATTTTATTTTATTTTATTTTATTTTATTTTATTTTATTTATTTATTTGATTTGTCAATTGTTTACAAGATAATAAGTATAAGTGTATACATAGTTATGAATACATGAAATGGGTACATATAAGAAAAATAAAAGAAAAATAAAAGAAACAATAGGACAGGGACAGTAGGCACGTTGGTGCGCTTATTTGTGCCTGTTTTCAACCTTCTCTTTTAGAAGGAAGGTTTACAGGGACCTGGGTACAGGACAGAAGTGGCATGATTACTTGTAATTGTGGATGATCTCTGATGGGAAAAGAATGGGTAGTACATCTATACTGGTTCTTCTTGATTTCTTAATATCTTTCAATAGCATTGATAATGATAACTTTCTGAACTAATTTGGGTTTTAGAAGTGGGTGACATTATATTGAATGAGTTCCCATTCTTCTCACCAGGGCTTGTTCCAGTCAGTGTTGATTTAGGGTAGTGGGAGGTCTAGGCTACAGTCTCTGATTTGTTGTATGCTTCAGGATTCAACATTGTCACCATTCCTGTCACCTACATTGGGTGAGGTCATCTGACAACACATGGTGTGATATCAGTATACTCAGTTTTACATCTCTACCCCAGGTCAACCAATTAATGTTGTGAAGGCTCCATTTCAGTGTTTGGATGCTGTGGGGAAGATGGGTAAGAACAGGCTTAAGTCAGCCCTAGTGAGACCGATTGACTTTGGGTTTTAGGACCAGATTCCAGGTCCTTCATGTTTTGATCTGGATGGTATTGCACTACCCCAAATAAAATGAGTAATTTGTGGGTCATAGGTCCTGTTCAAGGAACAAGTGGCAGTGGTGGGCAGGAAGGCTTTTCTACAATGAAAATAGTTGCCACCTGTTTTTCATGTATGCAGAAATAACACCCTTTGCTGGACTGAAAGGCCTTGCCCACAGATACTTATACCTTAGCCATATGCAGGTGAATTATACTAGGGGATGTATATACCATACTAGGGGCTGTCCATGAAAGCTATAATTATTTCAAAATGCAGCAGTGAGAGCAGTAATGAGCACTTCTCACTAAACATACACTTCTACATTGTCTATCAATATGTTTTCAGGTGCAATGTGAGGTCCTTGTGGTTACCTACAAAGGCCTTTATGGTAGGGGACCAGGTCATTTGAGGGATCATTTCTCCCCAATGACTACTACCAGTCTTGTTAGATCTAATAGGAGAGATATGGCATGGATAATGTCATTAAAGGAATGCCATCTTGCAAGACTAGGTAAACAAACTCTTTGTGTTGCAATGCCTGTTCTTTGGAACATCCTCCTTCCAGAGATAAGATAGGTTCTGTTAGCCCTTGCCTAACCCTGAAGAAAAGGCTGTGTCCTCATGCATGTGGTTGGATTAAGAGCTACGGTGGTGCAGTGGTTAGAATGCAGCACTGCAAGCTACTTCTGCTGACTGCCGGCTGACTGCAATTTGGCAGTTTCAACATCAGCAGGCTCAAGATTGACTCAGCCTTCCATTCTTCTGAAGTGGGTAAAAAGAGGACCCAGATTGTTGGGGGCAATATGCTGACTCTGTAAACCACTTAGAGAGGACTGTAAAGCACTGTGAAGTGGTATATATGTCTAAATGCTATTGCTAAATGCTATACAGTAGAACAGGACCATAATCTGTTCCATGACTTTGGTCGCAGCCCAATTTGATCATGTCTGGAAGTGAGACTGACTGTGCATGTGC